ATAATATGTTAAAGATGTGCTGTAAAACTTGAGGGGGAAATAATTGATTCAAAACACTTGCCACTAGAGTGAGGTGATGTAAGTTAACAGACATTCTTGGATAGGATCTATTAAGCCCGTGTCCAGCTCAGCAAGAGGCATTTCCATAGTTTCCTTAGATTTTGTGTACTTCAGCTTTTACAGGTACAATAATATTGAACGGATTTATCATAAAATAAGAGTAAAAAATAAACTCAAGTTACATCTGCTGGGCTTACAGCTTGCATAATATCAGAAGCAGCTTAATAAAGAAAATACAGACTTTGGGAAACAGAAATGATCATGAAATCATTAAAAAATTCTCTGGACTGAAAAAGGAAATTAAAAAAGAGGAGAAAGAAAGAGAGAATGAAAGAGAAAGGGCAAGAAAAAATAAGAGAGAGAAAGAAAAAAATTAGAGAGAGAATATGAAACTAACCTTACTCAGAGTCAAAATGCCATTCAGTAATCTTGTTTTCATTTCTAGAAAGTACCTGTATTAAACCCATTTTTATTAAAAGTGGGGTTTGGTGCCCACCTTGACTTTACCTTCTAAATATATATATATCTATATCTACAGACATACAATCAATTTTTGACTCCTGATCAGAATAATTCATTTCAAATCCTCATTTCTCTTTTTTTTTTTTTTTTTTTTTTTTTTTTTTTGTCCAAGACCTGTTTGGAGTTTCTATAGAAATTTAGGAATCTCAAGACCTTGAACTTCACTGCAGGTGTTCCCAGTGTGCACTATCAAGTCAAGAAGTCAAGAACAAATTCTTAGATATAACTCCCAAATACCATGTACCTTTTATATAATATTTTTCAAAGTTTTGGTGATAAAAAATAAATACCCAATATAGATAGGAAACTTTGTTGTAGATTACATTTGTAACATACCTGTATTTATACATTTAGATAAGTATGTATCAGGTGTGTGTTCAAGCATACAGTCATCTATGCATTAAACTTATGTGTATACATATATATATATGGATGTATCTATCAAAATCTTCAAAACTGATTCAGCAATTAAACTGTTTTTTTCAGCATAAAATGCAGCAGTAATATAATTGTCAGTAAATCTGATTTCCACACAGCTTTCCTAGTTTCACTTTGAGGTTCTAATTCACCATTATGCAAAACTTTTACTAACACAAATAAAAGAATAAAAATAAAATCAACATGTGGGAAAACCCAGTGTGGTTTTTTTTGTCTGACTTTTGTAAAACCATTGAAACTTGGTGCTCAGTTTAAAATCTCATCTAAGAAAGCTGTCAGTTAAAAATATTTGTGCAAGAGACTTGTTTCTTTAAATGAATGGAGCATAAACCGATTTTAGGCACAGCTTCCCCAGTGTTTCTTCATGTTTTTGTATCCTCTACACAGGAGCAAAACATACAATAGAATACAAGAAATCTCACTTTGGAAGGTTGGAAGACTGAGAGCAAATCTGCAGTTCTTCACTCCATTTTCCTACGAGTGTCTTGCACAGTTTAGGTACTAGTGGCATTTGCTACTTGGATACATTTACATAGAAACATTTCTTCTCCTGCACTCCCTTAAAAGTCCTTGGGAGGTTTTCTGTTGACTTCACTGAGGTAAGGATGAGGCATTATAAGACACTGTTCTTGATGACCCACAGTTGGTGCGCATGCACTCCCTTTTCAAGTTTTACTCTTTTACCACCTCCTTCCCCCTGAGTCTAGAGAAATGCAGTAAAGTCTGTGTCTTCTCTACAACCTCTGTCTTAAATAGTGGGGAAGGAAACAAGAGAATGAAACTGAAGTGGCTGGCACTATATACTCTATTCCTGCCACCTAGCAGTACAATAAAGAGTCTTTTTTGCAGTATAAAGACAAGACTCGCGCAGTCTACATTGCAATAGTGATAAAAAAATAAAGGAATTGAGCTGACTGAAAATACAACTGTGTGAAAGAATCCTAACATACATTTGATTCTAATGTATACCTCCGGTATATAACTATATTTAATACCTGCTGTCTCCTCTAATCTTTACTGAGTGCAATGCTATCATCTGGAAAAGCAAAATGTAAAACCAAAGCAAGCATTTCTTTGCAAAATATTTTGGTTACGTTAGAATTGGTGAGACTCTCCTACACACTGGGGGGTATCTTCATAGTATTTAATGAGTCCTTTAGTTACAGAAACTTTAAGTCAGTGGTTTTAAGTTTAAGAGAAATCATAACAGTAAGTTTTAAAAGACCTCTTCACCTACACTGCTTCTATTGGTAAATCAGCTGGTACAGAATATGAAATGAAATAGTACTGCAATCAGTGTCAAGAGTTTAACATTTTGGATTTTATACACTAAATGTCATTCTAAAGTTAGACTTTGAAGAAGTGCATTCCATTGTGATACCTAATTGGTAGCCTTTTTCATAGTCGCAGTTTTCCTATTTTGTGGCCAAGCATCTGCATATTAATAAGTAATGACATTTAATAAGAGTAAACACTCCAAAGAAAGACACTTAACTCACTGTCTTTATTCACTGTATCATAGTAAAACTGTACACTTACGCCAAAGGGAAGTTATGCCTTTAAACTGCAACTCTAAATTGCAACTAACATGCTGAAGCAAGGATGTCACAGTTACGCGTAATTACCATTTCTACAGGACCCTGCTTCCTGTGGTGACAGTAGCGTATATAAAAGATAACATTTTCAGTCTTTGATGTCACTTTTCTCATACAAAACTGTTTTTTCACTAAGAGCCCCATTCAGTAGCCCAGCCTTATCCAGTAAAGCACTAAGCACATGCCTAGATCCTATTTATTTCAAAGGAACTTAGACACATGATTATGATTTTTTTTTCTGAGAAAGGATTGAATAAGTATATGTTTCAAATGTTTTGTCATATGGGAACCTAAAATAGGAGTATAACTCCTAACTGCAATCCTACTAATACTCCTGACTACCTAGGAATTTTAATGTCAACAACTTTTATCATGTTTTACAGGTTTATTTTTCCAAATAATGTTTTAGCATCATGTTGCCTTATCACATAGCACATGCTGTAAGCTTATTACAATCCAACAAAAAGTTTAAAAAAATACTAAGCTTAATCATATTTGAATCTTTAATACTTTACTATGGCTTAAAGACCATAAGCTTTAAATACCACAGAAGCTTTTTTTTTCATATTTGAAATGAGAATGCTAAGAAAGGTATCTGCTGCTTATACAACAGGTTGTAAACCAGAAATTCACAGAGAAACCAGGAGGAAAACCCTGGCTATGTCTCCCGCATTCCTCTTTCCATCTCTTGCTTTTTCTTATTAATAATCACTGTAATAAAAAGGTGTTTTCCTGGATAAATGCTACAGAACAAAGAATACAGTGTGATTGGCTCTGTTATACTACCGATTTTTTTCCTAGCAGCCTTGCTATAAACAGTGCCCAGATTGATAGCAACAGAAACTGTCATCTACTCTCCCTGTACAAACTACCACTGTGCTACACGAAACCTGAGGAAACCTGTTTTAGCAACCCTATAACTGAAGTCACCCTTTATAGAAATACTTACTGTCTAATACCTCAATGTTATTTGTTGGGTTTTTTTTTAACTAACGTCCTCATTATAACAGTCTGTGGTGGTTTTAACATTTATACACTAAGGATGACACATTGAGAAGGCTGTGTCATCGTCATTCTCCTAACAGAAAACAACTGGGTGCAGTTTTCCTTGGGGCCCTTCAGTGATTTTCATGACTAGGGTAGACTGTAGTGGCTGTTGACGTACATGTAATTCACTGCCTTCTTTTTCATAGGATCATTACATTTTCTCTCTTAGGATAATTTCTTAGTTAGTGCACAGAACTGTAAATTTAGAAATGTATTTTCTATTTCTCACTGGGCCACAGACTTTCTACGTGGATCCTGAACGAATTGTTTTACTTACTCTACCTCAGCTTTTCACATCTGAAAAGTAGAGATAAAAACAACAGGAGCACTTCAAGGCTTAATTCATTAAAACTGGCAAAGAACTTTCAGGTCAATGAATGGAGGCTGTTACAGATTAACACATTAAAAGTTTTACTAATTTATTTGTGATCTACTTTAACTGATGCAAGATGTTTCTAAACTAGAAGCAGCAGGAAAATTTAACACTGTATCACTGGTATACATGTCCAGTTTTATAAGACCAATAACTGCAATTGAAAGATATTAAAGTGTTTCCTCTATTTAGGCTGTGTACCAGAGTACTAACATACACTTCAGGAATAACCATCTTCTGATGGAAAGTTAAAATAAAGCTCAATGCAATATTAATACATAGTTCATGTTTATACACACATACACGGTACACATACAGAAAATATGTGCATTGAGATACTAATCCAAAAGATTAGTATCTCAAAAGAAAAAGATTTTTCCTTGATTGTGTTACAAGGCCGTAATTCCTCAAGCTCAATGATCCCCCCTGTTGTAGGAATGCTCTGAAATAAAATGCCTGTAATTAACTAATATATAATTTTATATAAGATCCTTTCTTTAATACAGGTCTTCATATTAATGCACTGTGGTTAAAGGAAAATAAAATAGTTAGCAGAGGAAGAAAAGACATATTTGTATTTTTAAAAATAATAAAATCTGCTTTATTTCAATAGCATTTTTCCTCAGGATTTTTTCCTTTAAAAATAAAAATTCCATTTTCCTGACTGAATTCAAAATGATTGACTGGAGCACAATATTAAGTAATAAATAAAACAGTCCCAGTGCCTGAAAGACTCCTGAATAAAGAGAAAATTATTTTTGGATTTTCCTTCTGATCAGATATGAAATATTCTGAAACGCCACCTCTATAATTTGATAAAAAGCTTGATATCCCCAAATGAAAATAGGATTCAGCACTTTCATTTTTCTGTCTCTAAAGGAACCTCTAGGTAAACTGATTTTAAAAAAATGAAAATCTCAAGCATAAAGGTGGGAGTAATGAAGCAAGTTTAAATATGCGCTGACCTTTGAAATGAACTGCATTCCATGTTGTTTGGCCAAGAAGCTGGCTGTGTTGCTGTCTCCATCAATTTCCACAGCATAAAAGATGTGGGTTTTGGAGCTGCTCTGCTCTCTGGTGGATGTCGATAGGCATCGCCGCAAATACACCAGTTCTGATAGTAACAGCCATATGTTCATTGCTCTGAAATATTAAAAAGAAATCCACAAGGGATAAAAGTGTAAGCATCTTCTTTTGTTGTTGTTGTTCAGTGTAAGAATTTACCCAGAGGTAGTTGTATTTTATTTTCCCCTTCTTTGGTTAAAAAATAAAATCCTACAATCTTTTGTTTAGTAACAAAATTAAACTAAAAAGAAGAAAGCAAAACAAAACATATTATTTTTGAAAGCGAAGATTATTGTGTTGCTTGACAGGATATAAAAGCAAAGTAGTATTATGTTATACAATTTTATTCATACAAATTCAAAAATAAAAATGTACACTATTTTGTAGCTTTAGCTATGTAATTATTTCCTTTTTCCACTCCTGTTTTATTATACAAATTTCACTACTTTTATTCAGTGATTTGCTAATCTCAAGCTGTTCACTAGGTCTGAAGGTCAAATAGCATTCTCTGAAAAATTTCAAAATGGAAGACTGACACTTTCATGCATAGTAATTTTAACAACAACCACTAATCTAAATATCTGTATATCTGTTCTAAGTCCTTCTTTAACATATTTTATCAAATATAATTTTTAAAGAAAGTCTTATGATCTGGTCATATACTGCCTAGAAAACTGAACGATAGAAAGATGACAAAGTCAAGATTATATACGAGAAGTACTACAGGTGTCTTAATTAAGCAAAATTCATAGTTGGCTGAAAATTGATTCTGTACATGCTAACTCTTAGGTACTATATCCTGGCTTTAAAAATATGACAGCAGCAAGTAAGAAAATCATCCTGAGTGATATCCTGGCATTTCATCTGTTTCATCTGTGATGAAACAAGGATGTCTTTTAAGTAGATGTGCCATTAGGTACAAACAGTGGTAGAAATCCAACTAACTTTTCCACCTACATTTCCATTCTTTTACATACCTGTTAAGATCTCTACAATAATAGAATTTTAAAATTAATTTTTAAATGGATAGGATAATATAGTTTTAGGTAGTCATGTTCATTTGTATGCTTGCAAAGTTTGCAGCAATTAATATTCAAATAGTCTTTTAAAACAGCAGTTAGATATAAATTATCAGTGGGACCATACAATTATGTAGAAATAAACCACTGTATCAATCCAGTTTTTGAAGATATATATCTGCCTTTCCTAAACCATGTCTTTCAATTGCATCTTTCTTGGAAGTCCAAAAATTAACGCAAAGCAGTCAATGACTGAATTCCACCCCCACACACAGTTGTAGCTCTTTTTAATATTAGGTGCAAATTAAGGTGCAACAGAAAAAACAGTTTATCTCATATCTTGCAGTCCACAATAATATAAACCTACAATCTTTAATAAACACTGCCAGGCTGAAAAAATATACTTAAGGTATCTGCACAGCTAAAGATAAAAATCAGATCTTGAATGAGATCCCACCAGCTAGATACTTCTGAAAAGACATAGTAAAGCCTATCATATGGAATTCCTACTAATTACATTAGAGTGTTCCTGGATGCTGGTTGCTATCTGAGGCACAGATAGACTCACAGAGGTGGGGGATTTTTTTAGCCAGACATATGCAGTCTAAATTTCTAACGTTCCTCTTCAAATATGAGTTAAATATGTAGCAGGGACACTACTGGTTTTCCACATGGTGTTTTATTGGAACACCAAGGATTGAGGTAGTGGGAACTGCAATTTATTTCTGCTGTCTAGCTAAGCAATCAGATTACAGCCCTATGAAATGAAGCCCAGTAATCAATGCAAAGGAAGCCATGAAGATTATGGAAGATTAAGTTTCAGCTCCTACCTGTAAGAAGATGAAAATTTCATCAAGTATTGTCCAGGACAATGCATGAGGTTAAAGGTTATTTGTCTTGGTGTTTCTTCTTCTAATGCAGGTGTACTGTGTATGGGCTACTTACTTATATGGTGATTGAGTCAGAAAAAAAAAAAAAAAAGGCATCACAGCTTAGTCCACTCTAAACATGAATCAGAATGGATTTCAACCAGCGTCTGTTTCCTACCAATTCTAATATAGTCTAGAGCCAGTTTGATCTCCACAACCAGTTTAGGGCAATGTAGCTGGCCTATATTTAAAGTAAGCCAAAGGCTGTAGAGGGTACAGAGGAATTGGGGCTGCAGAGAGAATTAAGAAAAAAACCCCAACAAACTGATAATGTAGACCCACTCTGTATAATTAATAGAGAATAAAACATTTCCAGAACAAAATACCAAGTCAGTCTACCTGGAACTCCCTAGATCATAAGAGCATTCTTTCAGACAAAGAAAAATACAGGTTCATCCCCCTGCAGAGACATGTAAGGGTAGAGCACCATATATTTCAGTAAGGAACTGATACCACTGCAATATTGGTAAAAGTGTTTTGGAGATACTTCTCTCCTCTGATACTATATTCCTTGACATTCACTTTACTGCTTTTCAAATCAAACTATTTTGCTGGCACTAAAGTAGAGATCTGCAGAATTTATTCATTTTTTCCAAGCCGATAGGTTTGGCAAATTTGACCTGACCTGAATGGAGTCACTCTGCAGATTTGTTTTTTTGACTACCAGTCAATTTTCTGGAGGAAAAAAAAAAAAAAAAAAGAAAATACAGAAAAAAAATCTACAAACACAATGCAAACATATCTGAGAGGAATTTCTTATATCCTAGTGGCTTATGCTAACTCTAACTAGAACTGGAAACCAAAATGTTGGGAGACTAAATAGGAAACAATCTAAAAAGCAATAATCAGTGAAAGCCTCTGCTATTCATATATACATTAGGAAGCTTCAACCATCAGTATAAAATTAACAATATGTGACATCAGGATGATACATAGAAAAACACTTGTTTGACAAACTGAAGAAAAAAACCTCTACAATTAATAAAATTTGAGATGCTTGTTTCTGAAAACAGATAGTAATCCTGAAAATTTATATTTTCACAGAAGACTTATACATTTAATAATATTCCTTCCACAAAAATACAAATTGACTAGATTCTTGCTCTCCAAGTAATTACAAATCTGTCCTACAAAGAGGAGTTGGTAAACATACTTAAACACAGCTTCAAAAGCAGTGCCAACAATTTAAACAATATTTCATAGGTAGAAGTAATAATTGGTCACCTTCACAATCATGACACTGAAGCAAACCAAAACAGGTGTAGTTTCACCCCAATTATTAGCTCCTGAAAACAAAGTGAGTGGGGAAAAAACATTATTTTACCTCTACAAAAATTATATCTACTTCTTTGTGGAAACCTTTGGGCCTCACCTATAATGTGGAATAGGGACTTAAATTCAGCATGAGATTAAAATACACCCAAACTTGGACAAGATACTAAGGCTTTTAAAACTGTAGTCACAACAAGGTCAAGAGAGGCATGTAACAGCTGAAAATTTACATCATGAAAGATTCCACCTGCACAAAGCAATCTCCATCACAAAACTGATCCTGTATTTCTCCCATAATGCAGTTTTTCCCTATGTTCCAAACCATATATTGGGAGAACAAAGAGACTGTCTTGCCTATATTCTCCAAAGGCATTACTAACAGAGGGTAAATTGGACAGCAGCAGCAGAATGGAAGAATGGACAGCAGGGGTCTGCTGGTGGCTGTGAGTGAAACTGGTGATTTATGTTAGAGGACTTGGATTAACTGATTAGGATGACTAGGACTGAGAATTGAGCACCAGGGCAGTGGGACTATTGATTGAAAGCAAGAGAGGGTACAAAACAATCACAATACCAGGGACTGAATGAGAAACTGAAATAAAGAAATGATTTGCATCCCTGGGGACTCACTGAGACCTCAGCTGATAGGAAGTTAGTAGGTTCAAGTGACTTAAAGTACAATTGGTTAAAAAGAACTAGAAAAAAGAGTCAGGAATGATAGTGAATCTGGAAAGGTGCAACACTAGATGAAGCAATCTGAGTGATTTATGGAGGGATAGATTCGAGAAGGGGAGAACTGAAATAAATACAGAGTGCTGAGGAACAGCTGATTGCAGAGAAAACAAATGCAGCAAGGAACCACCAGTGTGCAACCAAGATTACCTGGGCAAAGAGACCTGGGCCAAGGATATTAGCTCTGAAAGAGGAAAGGAGGAGAAACAACAAGTAAAGGAAAACTTAACCAGGCTGTAATGAACAAACTGCAAGACTCTGTAACCTTCCACAAGACTCTGTAACCTTCAGACTAGCTCCTCTCCACAGCCTGGAACCAAATCCTAATTTCCAAATCTTGCTATTCCACTGAAACTGGAAAATACAAAGGAACCAAGTGTCTGAATTCCACCAGCTGAGCCACAGGGATAGTTAAAGCCTGGTACTTTGAAGAGTGTGAGAGTGTTCCTTCAAACAGCAATGCTCTCTGCTGTGGGTGTAAGGATTTCAACCCCACTTATGCCTCCATGAGGATATTAGCAAGTTGCCGAAGGATGATATTTCTACTCAAATTACCCTGCTAAGAAAACCCCAAGCATGAGTTAATCATACGCACAACATATAACATTAATATAATTTTGCTAAATCCAACATTTAAAAATTCCTCATTAAGGCTATTGGTGTGAATAGTAAATAGAGGGTGAAAGGTATGTTTAGAGGCTAGGAAGAAGGGCAATTAAAGACCTGAAGGTAGTCAGGATTCACAGCTTATAATAATAAAATCACATATGGTTGATTGCATGCAACACATCTTCTTCAGTATCTGTCTTTATTCAACTTTCACAGTAAATATGACATATCCTGAAGTGGGCTCTTGAGGGCTACTAACTAGTGACATCCGTGATTAATGTTATATGAGGGGATATATCCTATACAGGTCAATGCTTCAACCTGTCTTAAACTTCTGTTTCTTCAACAATGAATTCTGAATAAAATGCTTTGGTTTCAACAGTAAAGAGTAAACTTTACACTGGAAAGCAATTTAACTTCAGAACACCAGATTTCACCTAACCTATCAAGAAAGAAGATTCATAAGTTTATTAAATTCTACTGGGGGGAGAGGGAAGGACAGATTTAAGTTCTTCCT